TTAGACGAAATAGGGTGAATACATCTCATTACACTGATTTACTGGTAGTCTCGAAACCCTACTCTTTTACTATTAAATGAGTTGGTCTCACGATGCAATTGGACAACAGTCAGACTTTCTCCTCTGACCTGGTATGCGGCTTCGAGCTGAATCCATCGCCTTAGTGGCCCTTGAGGGACTCGAACCCGGATCGTGAAGATTATGGCGACGATGTGGTATTCAAAGCAGTCCAGGTCACAATCTTTGTGTGGTATATGTCGATCAGGCAAAGATGTATTGCTCACTAAAACCGACATTGCTTATTGAATGACTGAATTCATCCTACAATCCACTCTTGGATGGATGTGAATAAATTCTGAGAAAGAAGACCATGTGAAATTCCATGAAGGCATGGAGCCTACTTGTATGATTGTGGGAAAATTTAAATGCCAGTCCTTTATCACTTCACCTCAAATATGTCCAACAAATGCGTGTTCGGCAATACTTATTCCATTAAGTTCTTTTTCAGTTTCACAATGAATTTATTCGTCAAAATGGGAGTTAAGCAAAGTTTTATCAATACCCAGTCACACTCTGTAACTCCTTATTTATGCGAGACGCGAGGGAAAAGATAATAATGAGTATCTGTATATTTATGGCCTAAAAAGCTCTTTGCACAGTCATCTGACATTTTGGAAGAAATCATAATCATCTGAATGGTGAAATCTGGGGCCTATATGATAAAAGGAAATAGTACAAAAGCCGGCAGTCTTCTGCGTAACTGTCCATGCTTGGATAACTCGCCTCGGGCGAAGCAGCCGATTTCATGCTCCAGTTCTTGCCTGTCACACGCAGAAGATGCTCTTGCCATGCCCAAGATGCTGACACCAAGCCTGCATCAGTTAAAGGTTACACGATCTGGGCAGGACATTTGAGAGTTCGAGAAAAGTTGCCCACATGTATGCACAAGTGCATGTACACATATACACAACCTTGACGACTGTACCATCCCAACTTTGCCGGAATACAGCATCCACTTTGGAGGCGAAGCGAGTTAATTTTGCAAATGAGGCAAGGAAGACTATAAAAAGTGGGTTAGCAAATGAATAGGCGGACAGCTTGATAGATTATTATATGCATAGGTTGGCCAAAGGGTAGTTTGGAGGGTGGGTAGTGAAGACGGTTTTTTGGTGTAGTCGTGGTGGCAACTACTGTGCCTGCAGTCCTGGCTGGCCCTGTTGTTACTGTTGCTGTTGCTGTTGCTGTTGGTGCATCATAAGGATTGTGCTCAAATGTTGTGCCAGGCCAAGGGTGTTCATCCGCCTCCAAGCCGCTTGATCGTCGTCCAGGCAATTGGTTGCTTGCCCGACCCTCGGTGGCAAAGCAGTCGGCCGGTCAGGCGTCTGGAATTGGTCTATTTCTGACCCTCTGAAGGGGGCCAAAGTGAGCCCATCCGATTGAGGCCAAAACTGCGAATACGAAGCTGGAATTGGCAAAGATGACGACCCTTCCAGACTGCCGGGAAAGGTGAAGGGCAGATTGAGAGGGTTGCAGAACATGGCACAAGTGGAGCCGTTCAAGGACGACTCTGTCGTCTCTAGTCGTAGACGTCCGAGATCGACTGCCGTAGTGGCTGGAAGATCGGTCTGTGGTCGACAGAAAGAAGCAGCCCTGAGCTCCAGACCTGGAAGTTCTGGCATCCCAATTTCGGTCGACGGATGCGACCAGACGAGCGGCGATAAAGCGGGCTCTTGAACAGGCGCCATGGCAACACTGTAAGGTCGGAGGGTCATGTTGACGGGTTCATCTGATACATGACTCCTCGCCTCGAGAAGTCGTCTGTCAGGCGAGTTCACCTCATCAGGTAGGACAGACACGGTTGGACTCACCTCCTGACCTGCCAGCTCTGCTGTTGCCAACGGCGACGCCGGCTTCAAGGCTACAGACGTCCAGCCCAAGGGACCAGGTCGAATCGAGCCGGAGGGCGACGGCGACGGACCGACTAGAGGGCTCACTGGAGCCGTGAGGCTGGCGGAAAAGGAGATGGGATTCGGCGAAATGGCGAGTGGAGAGTTAGAAAAGGAGGAAGAAGAGGAAGAGGAGGAAGAGGAGGAGGCGGAGGAGGAGGAGGCTGATGAGCCTGAGGAGTCCGAAGACGAGAAAGCGCAAGAGGCCGTCGACCGGGGCGGATTGAAGGTGGCAATTGGTGGATTGAACAGATTCACCGCAACACCGTCTCCTGTCACACCTTCCGAAGCAGACGCAGGCCATGAAGGTTTGACAAGCGACAATTGGCCTCGCAGTTCTTCAATGTGCTTCGTCAACAGAAGGATGTAGTTTTTCGCCAGCAGGAGGGTGGCGATTTTCGACAGTTTGCGCACCGACGAACCTTGAGCATACGGCATTACGGATCTGTGCAAGGGCAAACGATATGAAGCGTCAATTTAACGTACAGACTGAAGGGTAGAATAAGACCGGTAGTCAACCTATTTCATTTAAGGTGATGAAGGAATTGTCGTTGAATTCTCTCATAATCAAATATATAGTCTTTGCATTTACATTTAATCTAACCTAGCCGGAATAGAGTGCAGTTTAGACCTCATCTGAACTGGTCTCGTCAGCATGCCCACCCGGACTCGAACCAAGGCTCCGATAGTGAGGCGTATAATCTCGACATGTTAACCATTACGCCCTTACGCCACAATGTGGATGTTTTCACAAATTGCATTATATGCTGGGATTATTTATGAAGGAAAGTTATAATTGCTATAGCAATAGACTACAATACTTATTTCTCGTTTTTCAGTAGGTACATGAGATGTATTCACCATGTTTAACTCTAGATACTGAGATTAAATGGAAACGTCAGCTCTACTCATATCATTATGGAAAAAGTCAACTACCTTTTCTTCATCACCTTAAACGATGTAAAGTGAACATAAGGATTCTCCTTTAGGGTGGATGGGGTTTCGACTTCGCCTAGGCCTGATAATACTTCTTAAAAATGGGTCAACCCTCATGTCTCGAAACCAACTTAAAAGCAAAAATAGGAAATGTGGTGGATTGCGGTAGAAAATGCAACTGTGTCTTGTCGACAATCTTAATAAAAAATGGAAATGGGAAAGGCCCGGCTTTTCTTAAAATAATGTCTTTTCATAAATCCAGGGCCCCTCGTGGTAGTGTGGCACTATGCTAACATGACGAGATTATATGTTGCACTGTGAAGTGTCGAGGTTCGAGTTCCGCTGGGGCGACTGACAAAGCTGTATTCCACTCTAAATAGGAATATGTTTTGGGAATTTAAGCTATGCGAAGGGGAATGGCATAGCCATATGATTGTGGAAAAATGCATACATCCATTCTCCATCATCTTAGACGAAGTGGGGTTGCTTCAGCTATCGTACAATCCACTCTCCGATTCTGGTAAACCTGGCAGGTTAAAGTTCAGATTTAGCCTCTATCAAGTTAGCTTCTGATACATAATCCAAGTATAAATCATACTAATTGAAGCATCAAGCCTCCTGCTCAGCTTTTCGTATTCATTTCTTTTATAAGCTCTATAAGAGTGTAGCGCAATAATATTCATGATGAGTTATCCAAAAACGTTTAGCAGACTAAAGTTCTTTTTGAAGGTATGAAGACGAAGGTGGTGTAGCCTTTTGTGTAATCACAGTCGCCTTTCGTTGTATAGAAGTTGTTTGACCTTATTTTCGCAATATGGTCATATTGGTAGGAAGACTTAGAGGAACGCACCTAGTCCGAAGTCCATTGTCTGTATGATCATTTCTAAAGTTGAACCGTGGAAGTGGTACATTCCCAAAGGATGAAGGGGGGGCATGTGAGGTGAGAACGACAGTTGGAGTGTAAAGGTGTCATGTCGCTCAAAGGAGCACACCACACTACATCGAAATAAACACGGTACAAATTGTAATATTGAAGGTGTGATTGGAGTATATAGGAAATGTGAATAGATCAGGGCAGAAGGGGAGATACCACAATTGTTTAGCACAAGTTTGGTCAAAGGATCGGCTCTACTTGTCTCTTTGACGAGTTGTTGTGTGGTGCTAAGACTAGCGAGACTCACTGACGATGCCGACTACGATGCCGGCAAAACGTTTTGGAATGTACCACGTCCACGGTTAAACTTTGGAAATGATCATACAGACAATGGACTCCGGACTCCTCAAAGTCTTCCTACCAATATGACCAAGTTGCGAAAACAATGTCAAACAACCTCTAAGGTTCTTTTTATTGCATTATTTGATATCGTCTACAGACAAGACCTACCAACATATTTTTAGGCGGAGATGCTGATCTGACCAAGGCGAGGTTGAAACTGCTGTCCAGTCTGGATGAGTATACATTTTGAGAAGCGGGTCTATGTGAAATTCACTAGGAATGTGCGGCCTACTCATACAATTGTGGACAAGTTCAACTACCAGTTCTTGATGGCCTTCAAGGAAATAGGGTCAAAATGGCTCATATATAATATCCTCTAGTAGTCTCGAGACCTGGTTGCTAACGAAATTACCGCTCGAAGGTTCTAACAGGCCAGTTCAGAGAGACGATCTCGGGGAACATTGCATGGCTCCAACGAAAGCAATTACTGCCTCATTCTAATTCCGGCCAGACGAGCCAATCTACATACCAAACTGTGGTGACGAGAGAGGCAATAAATGCCAGCAACCTAGAAAATCTGAACACTCAGAAGCTATTCTTGGTGAGGCTAATGTTTACATGAGCTGTGTCTATGCTATTTCGTTTAAGATGATGCAGTGCTTGTAGTCTCGAAAACCTACTCGAAACGAAAATAATGTCTTCATGTTAGTGAAACGGTAGATGGAGCCTAATGCCGTGGGTAGCTTAGGCGACAGACTTAGGCGAGGTCGAATCTGCAGTCCTTACCTGCCAGGCTGAAAATGCTTTTTGGGGAAGCAAGGCTATGCTAGAATAAATGGAAATGTGTGGTTTATTCTTGTGATTGTTGAAAATTCAACTACCATAACCCTGATCAACTTAACAGAATTAGGGTGACTACATCTCAAATGTATGATCTACTGGTAGTCGCTAAAAGTTTCTGACAAAACGAACCGAAGGAATTCAGACAACTAGCGAGCTTAGATCGCTTTCGGTCAGTGATTCTCAACTGTGCGCCGCGGCCTCTTTACGGGGGCACCGGGAAATATTGTAAATGCTTCAATTTGAGAAAATGTGCAGTGATTTGCAGGCTCATCCATCGCATTAATTATTAAATATTAATTTAATGTTAGTAAAGTAAAAAATAAAAAGGAAGAAACACGAGTTTTATTTATTTTTATCTTTTACTTACAAATTGTCAAACTTAGGGTAGGGCACCATGGAAAAATTTTAATTGAAAAAGGGCGCCTCGAATAGGAAAAATTTGGGAACCACTGCTTTAGGTGATTTGAAGGCAGACAATTAGTTGTCTATACGAAGAAAAACTGAGTTTCGATAAGGCTCTTTAGAAAACATAGTCATGAAGGCTTTCATTTCATATGAAATTGCATGATGGAGAGAGTCATAGACCACTTTCACCGGAATACCAAGGTTGATTTGCGTTGTTCTCCAGTCGTTTGGCTTTGGTACATCATTCACAGTGACGCAAACAGACACACTCAAGAATAGAAGAACAAACTAAAGCATTCTAGAGGTTA